TCTCTCTCTCTCTCTCTCTCTCTCTCTCTCTCTCTTTCCCGTTTGCATTTTCTTTTGTAATCTTTTATGTTTCTATTTTCTATCTTTACATTTTCTTAGTTATCGTTCAATTTAAATGTTCCTCTATATCTTTTCCGTTGATATTTTATTCTTTATTTTGTCTGTTATCATGTTCCTCTTTAACTTTTCCACTTATGTGCTTTTCTTTATTTTTTCCATTTTCTTTTTTTAAAATCTTTTCCTTTTGTATTTTCTTCTTTATCTTCTCCCTTTATTTATTCTGTTTACATGTTCTTCTTTATTTTTTCCCTTTTATATTTATTTCTTTGTCTTCTCTGTTTATATTTTATTCCTTATCTTCTCCGTTTGTATTTTCTTTTTTATCTTATTTGTTTATGTTTTTATCTTTTCCATTTATATTTCTTTTTAATCTTTTCCTTTTGTATTGTCTCCTTTATCTTCTCCCTTTACATGTTCTTTATCTTTTCCATTTTTTATATTTGCTTCTTTATCTTGTCCGTTAACATATTGTTCTTTATCTTTTCCATTTATAGTTTCTTCTTTATCTTTCCGTTAGCATATTGTTCTTCTTTGCCTTTTCCGTTTATATATAATTTTTTTTTTCTTGTCCGTTAACATATTCTCCATTATCTGTTCCGTTTATACTCTCTTCTTTATTTAACATGTTCTTCTTTATCTAGTGGGTGGTTGGCGGGTGCTCTGGTGTGGTTTGCTTCTTCTTTCCTATCAAACATCTATCGTCTTTATCTCCGCTCATTCTTTTTTTATGTTTGTTACTCTCTTGTAACACCTCTAATCTTCTGGCGCTCATATGACCTTATGCAGTTGCGAGCGTCGTAAAACCTCTACAAAAACTAAACTTTTGTCTGTATCCGGCTATCTGCCAGCCTCTATGGAGCCAGATGATGACGATGACGCGTACGGGGAGCGAGGGAGCCACATCCCCCAGGAGGGAGAGCCTGACTTCATCGAGACCAACTGTCACTGGGCCGACTGTAGGCGGGAGTTCGAAACCCAGGACGAGTTAGTCAAGGTAGGTGGATGTTGGTGGTGGTGGTGGTGTTGGTGGTGCTGGCGTAGGTGGTGGTGGTGATGTTGTTAGTCAAAGTCGGTGGTTGTTGTTGGTGGTGGTGTTGTTGTTGGTGGTGATGTTGTTAGTCAAAGTAGGTGGTTGTTGGTGGTGTTGTTGGTGTAGGTGGTGTGGTGGTGTTGTTGGTG